TACGCCGGTCAATGTAGGACATTAATGTAAGATTGAGGTAGACGAGTAGAATTAGAAATACTATATTTACTAAGAAGAAAAAATGATGAATTTATTATTGCTTATAAAATAAAAATATACGATTAAAAATTATCGAATGCTGCCTTAGAGAAACGAATTAACCAGCATAAATTATTAATTAGCCATCATAGTGCTTACTTTTTAATCGATAAAGTATGTGTCCCAATTTTGAAAGACATAAATGTATACTTGTTATTACATATTTCTTCTTTCGCGGCTCATTAAAAAAAGGCGGACCAAATGTTTGCGGGCATACAGGCCAACAAAGTTCTTAATCCGCCGCTGTTCGCCAGGTTTATTTTATTGTGTCGGCGGAATAGAAATATTTATTTGCTATCTTAGAAGAGAATGCGGCGTGCGAGGAAAGGTAGAGAGCCTGCCTATCCAGCTAAAAAGATGAGATACGTAGACCATGCAATGACAAAAGTACAAAAGTTACTCTTACTGTTGCGGACTATCAGCAGCAGAATTATCACACTGCCAGACTAGAAGTAATAGAGGGTATATAATATTCAATCTTGTCATCACGCACCAGAAAGGGAGAACGCTTGGCTTACAGAGGAATTTTTAACACTGCCAAAACAACAAAAACTCGACGAAATAAAATAAAAAGATGATATGGATGACCTCAAGTGCCAGAATTGAAATGCATCTATTGGATAAAGATACAGTTGGCCCAATACACGAAATACCTGAATAAAAAGTGGACGCAGCACAGAGATTTTGCAGTGTTTAAAATATCGAAAAATAATGAACAGCTTTGCTATAAGCTAACGTATTCACAAGACATGGCAGCACGTGTCAAATTAGTACATGTCTCTACATCAGGCGCAAACGATAAAATACCAGCAAACCTTTACAGATGTAAGAGCTTATAGAACGACCTACGATATAGACTGTGATCACTTTCGCACTCTTTAAAGCTAAAATTATGAAGAGATGGAGCTTAAAATCAAAAAGCCAAACTGTGTTCGCCAACAACCTGAAAAGTACTCATCTACTAATAAAAAATCTGTCAACTGATGAACCAACGTCTGAACCAACTAAATAAAACAATGATAAATTAGTAATGATGTGGAGAAGAGTGGAGGAATTTGAAACTATAATAATTACAGCATACTGAAACACTAGGCTCGTACAAACGACAGAAGAAGAAAGGCTTAAAATAATGAATCGAGAAATCCCGAGAAGCTGTTACGAGAAAGAAAACTATACATCTGAGATATCTATCTAATAATTCTCGACAAACTAAGAAGGAATACCCACAATTTCCAACCCGTCAGGTCCCTAACAAGAAACGCCCAACAAGGATTCACTCGGATACTATATAGCTGATATCGGAAAATGAACATGCATGGCAGAGGGCAGATAAACAGCACTTATAAAATTATGCAGACACCCTTGAGACAGACCAAGAGAAGGACATAGCAGGAATATACAAATAATTAAGCCAGATGAATGGCTTTCTAATTACAAGAAAACTTTATGACAAATAAGAATGCGAAGGATAAGAATTAGAAGGAAGGAAAAATGAAACCTCATTGAAAGACAGCGAGATCAAGATAGAAAGAAGAAAACTGGAAGAGACTAAGTAAAATGCAAAATAGAGAAAGCTAGTGGCAGTGATGGCATATAAGACTAGAATGCTTAAATGTGACAACTGAAGAATTAAAAACAGGCTTTCCAACTTCTTCAACCTATTGTGAGACGTCATGGATACTCCACAGTCGACCCAGACACAGAGCTTTCGTATCAACAATATTTAAACAAAGAAAACAAAACAACATATCTATACACTAATAATCATATCTACACCCTAGCTGCTGATAGACCTGACTGAGTGTCGCCGTGTAGATGCGCGGGAGCGATCTACCGACAACGTTGAAGAGGTTTCTGATTGTGGCATTCGCCCAGCATCCCTACGTTTTGAAGCGCGCACAATAGCCTAGCTTCCGTGACCCGATGTCGACGCTGGACACCAAGTCCGTTCTGGCGCACACGCTGGTTTGGCCTCGATCACAGGAGCGACTTGGTTTATCCGATTGAGAATCGCGTGAATCGGTGGACCTCAACCACTCTTGCACCGGCGACGCCGCCACCACAGCATCGGCTCCCCCGTAACCTTTCTGCCAGTTCTCATCGGGGTTTTGGTTTGGTTTTTCAGTAACCAGCTCTATGACTTCATCCTGTGTCTGGCCTCTTGACTTGTAGTGGACTTGGAGCTTATCTCTTCTTCGGGGATTGTGCCGTTTTCACCGACTTCTCGTTTATCTTTGCCGAGTTTGGTATTCTCGGCCCTTTTATCATTCTCTAGGAGGATTCTTATCTCATACATCCCCTTTTGGGCTTCTTTAATGTTTTCTCACCTATTCTTTTGGACATCCACCTCTTTTAGAGCTATAGCCAAGGTGTCCTTCACTATAACTGGCTTTTTCAGGATGTTGCTGCTGATAATTAATTGAATCTGTAGACGGCCAATAATCACCGAATTGTCTTCCATCAACTTTTGAGTCATCACCCAGTTATCTGATGTCTAGCCCCTCGCATTACTATCCCCTACCGACGGGGGCTCTTCTTGGACCAGGGTTGCCTTGTCTCCTGTGGATACACCAGTTGTCCTGGGGGTACTTGGAGGTAATCTCCGCAGTTTTGACTTCCCAGAAAAGGGTTAAAACCGGCTTGCTCTATACTTTCGCTTGTCGCAGTATAGTATTTCAGAGACGTCAAGCGGTCCACGTCTCTGAGATTGCAGTCGCTGGTTGACGACCTCCGGAGGCCTGATTCCCACCCCGGCTGCCGGTACTGGAGCTCCGATCCCCTGCACCGTAACGGTTGATCCTGAGGGACCTTTCCATCGTGGGTTTCTTTACGGGCGTAACCTTCCCCTACGCGTTTCACATCTGCCGCCACGCGTCTGGATTTGGTCCAACGGCGTGGTATTTTCATTTACCCATTCTATCCTCCGGCGTGGCCGGTACACGAGCATTCCCCGATCCGCCACCTGGGGCGCGTCCGTTATAGGAGACAGCTACTCCACGATTATTATTCCCCCAACATTATTATTCTATTATTATCTATTATTATTTATTACTTATCTCATTATTTTTTATTGCTCCACCAAGTTTTTGGCTTTCACAATGTATACCACACCCAGATACAATATCCAGAGAACTGTACACAGAACATATTTTAAATCAAAAAACATTAAGCGCATTCCTAACACATAAACATAAAAACATAACTGTTTCAAGTGTAACATAGGAATAAACCGTTTTCAAATGCTAATCTAACAAAATACAACATTCAAGATGCAGCTTTCAAAAACCCACCAGTCCTCCCATCGAATTACTCCTGACTAGTGAGCTTGCTGATTATAACAGACTTCGTGGGGCCGAGTAATCTCTTCTCCAAGGAGAGTTCTTCAGCGATCTGCAGAGACGTTTTTGGGTATCAGCCCCAAGTTTGCTGATACGTCACAATTGGATACGTTTTCCATCTCTGACACTCGCCATTTGTTCTTTTACGGCAAATCACTCTAGTTCTCCTGTACTTTGCCGATTGTCAGGTCTCGTCATGTTGTCATTCATGTTGTCGCTGGTATTGAACGAACTGCAACACTCAAAACCAAACTTACTCTTTGGCAGACATTTGTCCCACAAGAGTAATACATCCAGGTCTGTCTGTGCGATGAATTGCTCCTCTTTGCTGTCAGAATACCTCCGCGTCCCAGTATACACTATGATGCGTCTCATCTTTCTAGTATTCGCTTCAGGATGATCACTGGAGTATGGTGCATCCACTTCTGAGCTAGCCTGTGCTTATTTTAGCTAGTTTCGAATGGATGATGTGGCTCCACTTGCACTCGTAGTCTCACCTTTATCAGTCCAGCTGCGCGACGCAGTAGACCAGGCTAGCAGCCTCGATATAATAATGTGAATGGTTTTGCATCTCCACCCACACATGCGACCATTCATCCAGTTGCTATCCCTGGGTCTTTTCGCACTGCATATCATTTTAGATAATTCTTGTGGAATCCCTGATCTGTATTGCCTATCATGAAACCTTCGCTCCGGCTACAATATCCTATACTGAGCCAATTTCGTATGACATTTCTCTTGGTCGACATTGGATTGGCTATGGCAGCAGGATACCGCACCGTGGAGTGCTTCTCCTAGTTTCCAGGAATCTATTCTCATTGCTGCAAGAGAGCTAATGCAACTTTGCATATTCTTGTTCTTAGACTTGAGGGCGTGTAATTGTCATCCATGCCTGCAAGTACCATTTGCCGGAGGTAGAGAAGTGGTCCCTGCCTTTTCTGCAAAATACTCTCCGGGCTATATCTGTTTGGCCATAGAGATTCGTGAACTTCCACAATACTCACCGCCCTACCATTTGTCGAGCAGTGACCCCTTTGTATCGCACTTTTAGGATGGTGACAACCGAAGCGTGTCATTTGAACTCTTACAAGTCTCCAATTCCTCTAGGTCGGTTGTGGACCATTTAAGAATACCCATCGAGAAGGTGATAATGGGTATTATTATTATTATGGTGATAATGGGTATTATTATTGTTATTATTATAATTGTTATTATAAATATGTTTCATAATTATTACAAATGATTCAGGAAAGTTATATGTTGTAGCTCCATTTGTTTGTTTGTAAGCTTGATTATTTGGTGTTTGTTCAAAGACGTTAAGATGGAAATAAAAATTACTGTTTTCGTGAAAGGCGACATCTGGAATTGCTTGTCCAAGCACAGAATGAACCATGTTGTGACTTTCTTATTTTATCATCATTTTATCATTAAGGCTTTTATCAATATTTCTTTGTGAAAATGTTTTTTAATATGGTTAGTTCTTGTTATAAGATAAATGTAACATTTGTCCAATTACTACATCTGAAAACGGTAAACTAATAGAACAATCTTGGCATGTTTTAGGAACAAGACACGTGCTCAACATGGACGTGGAAATTTTCACAACAGAAACATCAATTCCAATGTCTCAAATGATCAAGATTTCACTCGACACCGAAAATTTCAACAAACTACTGATTTTCGGCAATCCAATTTTCTGCCTACCTCACATACACATTTTCAACAAAACCCTCGGTTTCAACGCACCATAGAATTTCAAAGAGGCCCAGGTTTCCAAAACCCAAATATCCGTGAGAACCTTACTGCTGAACAGGAATATGTGTTTCAAGAGAGGCAGAATGTCCAGAGACCAAGAGGGAAGCAGTCATTTGGGTGCAGAGGAAGAGGGCAGAGAGGAAGAGGCCAACAGGCATCTTGGGTTGGCTGGAATAAAACAAGAAGTGAATTCCAAGCAAATGATTTACCTTCCAATCAACAGTCAACTTTTCGTAGCCAAGTGACGAAAGTTGCTGGCAATGAAAATTCTTCTTTCAAAACCGACACTTCGTTTCATCGAGGAGCAAAGCAGAACGTTCGTGATCGCGGTCATGGTCATGCCGGGGCGGATACAGCTGATCGTTTTGGGAGTGGCAATCTTCGATTTCTGTTAAATAATAAACACCGAATTGTTTTAGTACTTTTTTTAATTTTAATGTTATACAGCACGCAAACAAATGATTCTATCAGATATTAATATTTACATAATTAAACTTGACATTAACAGAAAGATTGAAATAATTAAATTGCCATATAATCAGTGGAAGGGTGACTAACTAAAATAATTTAATGGTTGATTTTTGATTGAAAGATATCCATGCATTTTCATTATGTAGTTCTATTGCCTGGGGAGAATATATTCTGCTGTGGAGACTTTCACATACCCTACTTTTTATACACACACATACGTACGTATAGCATACAAACACACTAGTTTGAAGGACATTCATTACCTAAAATGCATTTGTTTCCTTATCTACCCATTCAGTTAAACAGCGTTAACTTAGTACGGAACTTTAGAATACCCTCATGTCTTTCTGACCATAACGTTTCAGACCAGTAAAGACATACAAAGAACTTTTTGAAATATTCGCTTTTTTGTCTTAGGCATTGAAAATTGAAAAGTGTTTTCATTGTTTCCACAACGTTTGTACTTCGCACGTTCTGTCGAGATTTATTCAATGAATGAAACACGGATATATTTTAGCATTTTCTATTTAAATTAAACGACTTCACAGCTTAGACGTTATTAGGATTTACAGACGACATTACAGCTCAGTTATCGACCCAATTATCTATTCCAGTATTCTATAAATAATAATTAAACGGTCAACCACACATGCAAGAGCATTACCAAAAGATCGGTTACATTTACTACAATAACTTCATAGCGAATCGATCAATGGACATGACACCCGCAAACGTTTTGTCTGATTTGTCCATGACGTAAATAGTGAAATTTGTCCTGTGTAATTCCGTAAGAGGCCACGATATAACAAAAAAATCACACTTTAATACAGTGCAATAAAATCGTATTGTTGCGTGTGTATTAAGGATAGAACGCACAGTTTCTATGTACAATTTATACATACTTTTTTAGGATTTCTTTCAAATTAGGTACTTTAGGTCATTTTTTCTTATGCATTTATTTTTCCTGCGTCGTTTTTCCGATTTATTTTATCTTTCTTGCTAGGCCCTTGGGGGAGACATGGCCCCCTCCCGAATCCGCCGCTGTGGGCATGATCATGATCAAGGTGGTGGAAGTGGTAGTGGGGCTGGCCACTCCAACGTTCAACAAAAAAGGTAAGTAATTTAAGAAAGAAATTATAAAGAAATTAGCCAATAAATTACCTTCATTTTTTAAATATTATTATTACATTATTATTGCCATCATCATCATTATACCTGGTTGACTGGATCTGCGGTTCGCTAGCGTGTTTGTCCCTGCTTTTTCCCACGTAGGTTTTTCGACAATTCAACTCCGCAGTTTGAACCCTAGTGTAAGGGAATTTTCGCACATAGAGGTTGGTACGCAAGGCATGTAGATTGAAGGGATTAAGGCCCGATTCTACAACAGCTTGTTCTTCTTAAGACACTAACGAAACTTGGTGCAATTGAATTTTAACGGCGATATCAGTTTTGTTGGGAACAGTGAACGCATGGTTGGGCAGTGTTTTGGTTGAAATCGACTAGGCAGTTCCTTGCTAGTCACATACTGCTCTGCCGCTCTACTGCATATATTACTCGTAGCGAGCCTCTAGTCCTCTGGGGACTGTTTTTGGACATCCTCTGCTTCCCATAGACCATTTCTTAGCTCTGTTCCCCATGACCATCGGGGCTTGTGTTGCCGAGAGTCCCGGAACAGGACTCTGTCCCCGGTTGCGAATTATCGTGTCTGCCCCTTTCTTCCTCGTGATTTTTTAGCATGGGAGAAGGGCCTACGTGTCTTACCCTGCAGATTGCAGTACAGCATGTCCACTCGTTGTGGCCGCATAGTCTGCCGCAACAGACTTCCCTGCTTCCCGTAACAGACTTCCCTGCTGTGTGAAGAGGTCGTTTCTGCTCTGCCAATTCTGGCGTAACCATTGGGAGTGTGCTTTCCGCGTCCAGCCCTTTTTGACGAACGCCATCGGTCTTCGACACTTGGTCGCCCTCTGATGCCAACAGGTCATCCTTCCTCTGCCGCACTTACAGAAGGTTTATACCTGCGGGTTCTGGATATTCACCCCCAGACTGGAAGCGAGAAACGCGGCAGCACGTCTGTATTTCCATGATGACGACAGCCCTTCCGGTACACAAACGCATAATCGCACACCCACAGTATCACCCTGGATTACCAAGTCGAAAGCCCTTCCGAGACAAATTCATATTCGCACGCCCCCAGTGTCATTCTGAATTATGCCGTCAGCCTTTCCGGTTCACAAATTCATAGTAGTACGTCCCTAATATAAACCTGGATTACCATGCCGACAGCCCTTCCGTTACACAAATTCATAGTTGTACGCCCCCAGTGCGCGATATGTGTTCTGTCGTCTTGGAGCTCTGGTTGAAGGGTTTGTGGTCAGTCACAAATTTCACACGAGGACGTCCATACATAAAGTTATGAAATTTAGTGGCACCAAACACAAATGCTTTTTTGCCAATCTGCGCATATTTGCGCTGAGGCAATATTCATGACTTCAACGCGATGAGTTGCTCACACCCAATTTGCCTAGCCTTTTACAATGCAAAGAATATGTACATAAATTGCCGATTCGCCGAAATGCCAGTCGAAGTCCTTGCGGCGCTGCAGGGAGATGTACCGTGACTTAGCTGGGTCGTAGAACGCGAGAAAACACGTAAACTTGAAGAACAATCCGCAGTTTGAATCTCTTGCCCAATAAATTGGCTTCACAAGTTTACTGACGAGGCTCCAGGTCCCGCTCGAACTGCACGCTGCAGCTCAATGGAGCTCCTCTCCGGCCAGGGGTGTTCTTACGCAACGCGTCTCTTCAGATCTCTTTAGGCATTGGGCGTCTACACATTGAAGTAATCCTCCGTTAAGTTATTTGTTGTTTGTGTCGTAGTGTGACAATTATTCGATGCCTTTTACCCCTTCGACCAGGGACGGCGCCGTTAATAACTAGTGTTCACAAACGATCACCCATCTGGGAATCTGTGTTGTCTGGAATTGTTTAACTTTAGCAACTTCACGGAGTGTAGTTACGCTATTTGATTAACAAAACCGTCTTTTTTACCCTCCGGCCTGCGCGCGCTGGCCTCTTTGGCGTTTCCCCATTGGCTGAGTCAGAGCGAAACAGGCAGAGCACGGCCGCAGTGCTGTGCAGAACGCACCCGCCGAATGCGGGTCGCTGGTGCGTCTCTGGAGCGGGATGGACAAAGAGATATACTTCAATTAAAACAGAGTACGTTATTAGTCAGCAGTGACAGTGTCATCTAATAGGAAGCTTGAACTCACTATAGTGATGTCACCGTATTGATGTTCAAGGATCCGATAGGATGACAGTGTCACAGCTGACGAAGTATTGACGACTTATTGTTTTAATCCAAGTATAGCAGTATCTCGTGCCTGCGGTACACACTGCGGCTTTGGCTATGGATACTGCCGTGCTGTCGCCTAGCTGCTGGCGCGGCAGTTTTAAATGTACTGGCCGGATATTAAACGATGGAAATATGGAGCGAGTTAAAAGGGCAGAGTGGGAGGGATTACTTAGATTGCATTAAATAAATACTCGGGCTTCGCTAGGTAATTAACTAGTTACTAATATTTATATTTCGTAAAATACTACAAACATTTTTTGCCTTTTTGATCACGATACAGTTTGCTAATTTTGCCTGTAAATTTTTTTTGTTTCAGACAAAATGATTATGGAGGACGTCAACAAAAGCAGAATGTAAGGAACAAGCAAAACACTGAACCAGACGACAGAAACTGTTATGTTTCTTAAATATATTGCAGTTGGAAATTTTACAATAATGATTATATATGGTATTTCAATAAGGACATTTCAAGTTTGAAGGATCACATTGATTTATCCATTTAACTTACTGATTTGCTTTTGGTGTCAATATTTAGCGAAAAATATCAAATTTTACTTAACATATTCAAATTTTATTTAAACAGATTCAATGTGGCTTCCATTGGTCATACGGCACCCATCCCATCTGATGTGGATTTCTTGCCATACCAGCCGCAGCTTGCCAGGCGTAACTTGATCAATTGCGAGACAAATTTTAGCGCTCAGCTTTGGTTGAAAATCTGGTGAGGGTGGAACAACCTGTGGGCTTGATGAACCACCTAAAGGAAAAATACAAAAAAAACAAAACAAAAAAAACAGGTGTGTTAGATCCAGTAAACGTGGGGACACTGCATTTTCTGCTCCTCAGACAAACCATCATGTACCATTTTTAAACAAAACTTCTTACGAGCAATCTTATCAGTTTATTTTCGTTTCTGCACCATTGTTTACTTGTGTGATTTAAGATGTAACAGTTCTCTCAACATATCCCAAAAGAGTCGTATGTGAACAGCCAGCTGTCGAGAAGCACGACTTGACTTTTTAGGTATGCTACCAAAGCTTTGCCTCACTTTTTGTACTCCGTCAAAGGCCATGGGGTCGACCAGAGGCTTTGATGCATCTTACCGTACATCCAGTTTCATTGAAACTCTTATGCCACTGATAAACAGTAGGCATACAGGGAGGATCTTAAACATACTCTGTTTGAAAAATATGTAGAAAAGTTGTCACAGACATAGAATTTTCAAACCAAACACGCAGCGAGCACACTCAAGACTGGCAAAGGCAGGGACAGGCTCAGGACATGTAAATCTTTTTTATGTAAAGCTTCTTACGTGCATTTACATGTTTTATTACGTTGAAAAGATGGGATACCTCTCGGAAATAATTAAATGTATTGAAAAGGAAGGCATGTCATGTAAAGCCAAATGTTCAGTAACCCTAACCACGTAGTTTCATTTTTACCATTAGACAGTTCTCTTATTAAAGCATTTGTTCTTTCATGAAACTTGTCTCAGTCACGTTTTCTCTGGAGACATGACTTGTGCTCTTGAAACTGGAATATTTTGAAGTGAGTAAAGCCATGTACCTACTTATGGTCGTGGGGTTTACTGGAGAAGATGAATTAAGTAATGGTTTCTCAATGCCATTCACTACCTTCCCGTCCTGTTGTTCCCTGGCTCACTCTCCCACTGGGATTGCTTACTCAAACTTTGTTTGGGTTTCTCAATGCAACAGGGGCAGCTTTTATAGGGAAGGTTTCGTGTCAGAGGCTAAGAGAACTCTGGTGTAAGAGTTCTTAAGTTAGCATCTCACCTTTATTGTTGCTAGAATCTCAAGGTGGAAGCAGAGATTCCTCCAGGTTGATCCTAGTGTATAATTTCCTCCATTAACATGAAATATAATAATAAAGAAATCTGCATTAGAAAACTTGCAAAATATGCTTGCATGTGCGTGCAGAGTAAAATTCATTATATACAACACTAGCACAATTTTTGTGCTTAGAAACAGTGGTTATGGAATGTATTCATTGCTGAGTAATTCCTTATAAATTTTCCTTACTAAGGAGAATTAAATATTTAAACCCTGTATCAATGGTAGCAAAAAATGGTATTAAATTTTTTGCAATTACCAATTGCAACTGCCGACCAATTTTATTGGGACCAATGAAAATGAGTGCATGGGTGACAAATGCTCTCATTAAATGTTATGCCAATAAATAATTGTGTGATTAGTATACAATAAAGTGAATTTGTTAAGTTAAATTCGTTATTTGCAATGAGAATTGGAAATATATTTCATTATTACAAGGATCTGCAAATAGTTGAACAATTCTGAGTATAAAGATCTGAAAGAATAATGAAAGAGTTTGATTTATTGTTTTTTTAAATTTTTTTGTCCATTAACAGAAGTGCAATATGCAAACATTTTCTTGAGCTCCAGAAATCTCTTTGTGGTAAATCTCTTTGAGGGGACCCAAGGGAGGGGGGAAGCATATTCCCACAAACCAACATTTTTATATTGTTTTCTAAATCCAAAACATTTGCGACATATTGATCATATCTCATTGAAAGGAGTATTCCCATTAAAATAAAGCATATTTCCAAAGTTATTTATGAACTGAAAATGCTATTCCCCCTTCCAAAATAGTTTTTGATTCCGTCCCTGATTAAAACCTCTTGGATTTTTACCCTTTTATAAAAAGGCTGCTAATTGTGTATTAAAAGGTAAGAATATGGAATTTAAGTTGTATGTATGTGTAATTGACACTTGTCAAAGCTTATTTTTTATTATTGGTGATTAATATTATACTAACTGATTTTTGTTCTGTTCATTATACTTATTGTAAAGTCACTGTATACCAGGAATAATAAACTGCACATTTTACTTCAATTTTTACCTTTTGTCATCCCCACCCAGACCAGGCTTTTTGCCTAGTTTCCCTTAATCTTTTGAAAAAAATGCTGAGAAGGTCAATGGTTTCAATTGTGGCCGTAAATGTATTTTACCACCTCCGCACTTTTTTTGAGCTCTGGGGTTAGATAGTATTTATTCAGTGAACAACACAATAAATCGTTCTCCATTCTCTCACAGTAGTCTAACATTACGAGGTGCAAATCATTTTTCTATCACTGTGTTCGTAGATTTCCGCGTCCGGAGCCAATACTTCCTGGGCTATCCGGGATGACGTTTCGGCCATCTTGCTGTGACCTTCAGAGCTATACTGCAGCGCGAATTCATTGCAGAGAGGTATCGCAATCAGGGTCGGATTTACGCGCGCACGTGCTTACGGCAGCAAACATTGTGAACTACATTTGAGAATTAATTTCTAAAATTTATGAATTTTAGAAATTATACTGATTTAAATGCATGTAATTTCGATAATCTGTTTGAAGATGTTTTTTACCGTCAAATGTAGACATGTAATTGTAAGAATTGAAGGTAGAACGATAGAATTAGAAATATATATTACCAAGAAGAAAAAATGATGAATTTAGTTATTGCTTTATAAATAAAAATATAGACTTAAAAATTGATCGATCTGCCTTAGAAAACGAATTGAACTCGCATAAATTATTAATTAGATCATATTTATTTTTAATCATAAATATGTGTCCAATTTTGAAACATAAATTATAGTTGTTATTACATATTTCTTCTTTCCTGGGCTATTTAAAAAAAAGGCGACAAATGTTTGCGGGCATACAGGCAACAAAGTTCTTAATCCGCCGCTGTTCGCAGTTTATTTTATTTGTGTCGGGCGAATTAGAAGGATATTTATTTCCATTAGGGCAGCGGCGTGCGAGGAGACAAGGTAGAGCCTGCCTATCCAGTAAAAAGATGAATACGTAGAATGCAATACAAAGTACAAAAGTTCACTCTTACTGTTGGATATCAGACAGAATTATCACACTGCGGACTAAAGTAGATAGAGGGTATATATATTTCATCTGTGTATACGCACCAGAAGAGGGGAGAACCTTGGCTACAGAGGAATTTTACAACTCCCAACAAAAAAACTCGACGAAATAAATAAAAAAGATTATGGAGACCTCAATGCCAGAATTGGAAATGCATCTATGGATAAGATAATTGGCCCCAATAACGAAGATACTCTGAATAAAAATGGACGCAGACTAAGAGATTTTGCATGTTTTAACAATATGAAAATAATGAACACTTTCTATAAGCATAAACGTATTCACAAGACATGGGCAGCACGTGGTCAAATTAGTACTGTTCTCTACATCATGGCAAACGATAAAATAAGCAAACTCTTTACAGATGTAAGAGCTTATAGAAGCTACGATATAGATAGTGATCACTTCGCACTCTTTGAAAGCTAAAATTATTGAAGAGATGGGTTAAAATCAAAAACAGCCAAACCTGTCGTACCCAAAAAACCTGAAAAGTATATCTACTAAATAAAAAATCTGTCAAACTGATGAACCAACGTCTGAACCAACATAATAAAACAATTAAAATTAGTAATGATGTGGAAGAAGAGTGGAGGAATTTGAAAACTATAATTGAACAGCATATGAAACACTAGGCTCTACTTCAAAGAGAACGAAGAAGAAAGGGCTTAAAATATGGAATGAAGAAATCGAAGAAGCTGTTAACGAGAAAAAGAAACTATATCTGAGATATCTATCTAATAAATTCTCACAAACTAAGAAGGAATACACCACAATTTCCAACCACGTCAGGTACCTAACAAGAAACGCCCAACAGGATTCATGGGATAAATATATAGCTGATATCGAAAATGACATGCATGGAGGCAGAAAACAGCATATAAAATTATGAGACACCTTAACAGACAAGAGAAGGACATAGCAGATATACAAATAATTAAGCCAGATGAATGGCTTTCTAATTACAAGAACTTATGGACAAATAAGAATGCGAGGGATAAGAATTAGAAGGAAGGCAAAAATGAAAACCTCATTGAAGACAGCGAAGATCAGATAGAAAGGGAAGAACTGGAAGAGGCACTAAGTAAAATGAAAAATAGAAAAGCTAGTGGCAGTGATGGCATAAAGACAGAAATGCTTAAATGTGCAACTGAAGAATTTAAAATAAGGCTTCTCCACTTCTTCAACCTATTGTGACGTCATGGATACTCACAGCGACCACAGACACAGAGCTTTCGTATAACAATATATTTAAGATTAATTTTTGCACAACAGGAAAGGTTCAGATTAATGCGCAGTGAAAAACCAGGATAAACACGAAATGATGTGGGATGAAAACCAGAACGGCATAACAGTTGACATTTCATAACTAATTCTGAAAAACGTTTATCATTGTAAGCTTGTATTGTGCAGCAGAACAATTAACATTTATTTTGTTGTCTTTATTAATAAACAATGAAGTGACTGGGGATCTTTAATGATGAAGACAAAATCACTAACTACGACTTTCACAGTATATTGACACAGACAGTAGCACCAATTTCTCAGTAATTTATAAATAGACACTAGAAAACTATGTAGTATGAAAGTTGAGAGATATAGTACATAATATGTTGAATGAAAAACAGTAAGAATATGTATACACATATGTAAAATCGGATATATCATACGTAATATTAATAGTAAAATAATTGAAAACCACATTTGCATAAACACGGTAAATTACATTTATAAAGAAGATCTTAATTTAAAAGTAATACAAAACATTTTAGTAATAACCAATTTGGCAGCGCACACAAGTTGATGCGAGAGTTTGCACAACGAGTTAGAGATACATAAAGAGGCAAAACCGGCTTATAGTTTAGATATTCGTGTAAATATGGCGGCCATGTTCAAGGTGTCAGAGGGTTTTTGAAACTGAGTAATCAACCGCTAGCTGGATTACCTTTCTTCGGTGTGCTTAGCTTACTTAATTGTTCTCGAGTACGAAACGCACAGGTTAAAACCAATACCTTTCTGTTTATTTGATGCTGCATTAATGCTAAGTTAACTACCGTAATCTTCTGTAGCCAGAATAAACATATTTTATTAGATGATGTTCTTACAATGACAGGCAATTTCTAAATGAAGTTTAAGTTGTGGAGTTATTGTTGATAAACCAACAAATGTTTCAAAGAACAAGAGAGGGTACATGCTACAATACAATTAATGACAGCATTTACTGTACGAAACACAGATATAATCGAAGAGGTGCGTGCAGTACATTTTGCACGGCAGAAACTCAGTGGTAAGTAAGACAATGTTGTTTTGCTAGAAAATATTGGGATGAAATGAATTTACAGGGTTGTGAAAAGTACAGGGAAGTTCATAAAAATGAAATCATTTAATTTTTGATATTTATTAAATAGCTTGGTCATCTACCAATGGGTAAATGGTACAAAAGCGTTCCATTTTCTATAGACAAACACAAAGATTGGCAGTAGGTGGCAGTCAAATATTGGATAAGAGTGTATTAGTTTTACCTTCGCAAAATTTTAATAATTTGTCTGATGGCTCGTCTGTGTAAATCAGCCCAGAAAGATTGACCACTTAACGTAGGCGATTTGTCAAATGACCATGTTAAGCCATAAAAGTGTATATTGGCAGGAAATATGTCAATGTATGTCGGATGATAAATCCAAAGCTTAATATTATATTGATTGCAGGACTTAGCCAACGGCAATTTAGAGATTATTTGTTTAGTTACTTTACGTAACAAGAGGTGGTCACAGAACTAAATCAATGGCTGTACAATGCCAAGCAGAAATACAGGTGAAAATGTTTGATTGCCTAGCCGGTCATGTCCATCTACATCTGACGAGTATGGTCAATTGCCATGATTATTTTTGATAGTGAAATTATGACTTCACATCCAGAATTGGGGATCAGACTTTTTGAAAAATGTAAGTCACTTGCCACTAGTGTAGTTACGCTACCATCAGAACGATTGCTAATCCAGGGCTCAGTCTGATATAACTCAGTCTGTTGGTGACAAATGTCTGTCGAATACATGGCAGGGGTACTGTGTGTAATAGAATTTCAACACAAAATTAAATGTGCTAATTGTTGGATAGCTCTGTTTCAAAAACAAAAGGGAATGCCAATCAGAATTAATTGTATTGAATAATGTCATAATTCCTTGTGAATCCTTCACAGGGAGTGAGGTAAAACAGAATCTGATAAGATATTGTGGCAGGCTTTTCAGATAGTGAGAGAAGTAATTTTCTGGGTAAGAAATGCAGGAAGAACAGGAGTGCTAAAATTTCAGCCTCTGAGAGTGTAACTGTTTTACTGTTATCGGATTGCTCATGTAAAATTTAGATTGTGATCAATTCTACGAGAAGATGAATCTCCATTTTGCATACTCTGTGAAAGAGTTAATTATGAACCATTATCTGTATACACTAGCAGAATTCACGAATCTTATAGTAAATACACTGTAGAGGAAGACGAAAAAAGGGGGAAGACGTGAGACAAATCGTTTACCAGAAACATTAATTTCAAAAATGTAATTTAAAGAGTATCAATATTATAAACTAACTCTAACTAATGTTAACTAGTGAAGAACTTATGTCAACTTTTCACATCTGAAATACTTTGTATCGTTGGAATTTAACTGGACTACTACTTGTGAATATCATATAGATTCTTTGGAGGAGTATCATTTATTGTTGATAGTCAATCAATAAATTAACTAGGTTACTAGTATTAGTACTCACTATAGAACAACTTTTTGATTATGAACCGTGTATGTTTTGATTATATTTACACCTGACAAATATTATTTTTCAGATAGGAATCTCTTCTGTACCGGAGAGTATGTAAATGTGGTACGACGGCCATATCTCAATTTTTTAGTCGCAGGAGAAGATATGAAATATATAGCGTTTCGGCAGTGTGTTTACCGATTGACAA